TATATATGAATCAATCTTGCTTAATGATCTTTAGTTGTCCAACAAACAGGAATTTAATTAAAATTTTCAGCTGATTTAAAGAAACATTACTCATAAAAACTCCACATTAATGCAGTTGAATGAATAATAAAATGTTTTCAGCCTTCTTTATGGCCGAGATGGTGTAGGGGCAGGGCAGCCGACTCGGGACCCGAAAGTCCTGGGTTCGACTCCTGGTCATTGCACATCTCGTGGCGTCTCTCAGCAGGACACCTAATCCCGACTTGCTCCCCAGGCAGCTTACATATTTGCCCACTATTCCACCTGGATGTATCCCAGGAGTGATGGGTTAAATGCAGAGAACTAATTTCGTCTTTGTATGGGAACATATGATGATGACAACACATAGCACTTTATTTATTATTATTGTTTTGCAGATAAAACCTTCAGAAGGCACAGATTGAGGTTCCACTTGTGCTCAGTGCAGCTTTTAGATGATGTCGTGTTTATCCACCTGCTCTGTAGCCCAATCAGCACCACTGCAACGCCTCGAAATATTCAGGGCCAGGGGCAATTCTAGGATCGGACCTTTGGGGGTGCTTGTTCACCCCCAAAAGAGGCTAACATCACCACTGCTAAGAGCTACCACCAAGGAAGAGAGAACATGAAGACCAAGGAACTCTCCACACCGGCCACATTCAGACAGAAACACAGACGAGGGTTTTACCTTTACTATTCCAAATGCTGTTTTAGAATTGTTACTTTTATTCAAATTAAAAAACCACTTGAACTCCAGTTTGTGGGGTAACAACATGGACAGAATACGGAGAGGACTGAACATTAACATGTGGATCTACAGTCGATCACAGAGTTCTCCATGTAGCCTTCACATGCACATCCATCACTCAGAAGGTGCAAACAGGAAAGCAATCTGTTTCATGGGAACATATGGGGGGGGGGGGGGGGACACAAACCATTACCCAGACACACAGATTTGAAGAAAATGGAAGAATAACACCCTGCACTATATTCAGAGGCCCAGGAGCTGTCAGTGATTCTGTGTGTGATTCAGGGTGCGATTCAGATTGTGATTCAGTTTGTGATTCAGTGTGTGATTCATTGTGTGATTCAGTGTGTGATTCAGATTGTGATTCAGTTTGTGATTCAGTTTGTGATTCAGTGTGTGATTCAGTGTGTGATTCAGTGGTGATTCAGTGTGTGATTCAGTGTGTGATTCAGTGTGTGATTCAGTGGTTTCAGTGTGTGATTCAGTGTGTGATTCAGTGTGTGATTCAGGGTGCGATTCAGTGGTGATTCAGTGTGTAATTCAGATTGTGATTCAGATTGTGATTCAGTTTGTGATTCAGTGTGTGATTCAGGGTGCGATTCAGTGGTGATTCAGTGTGTGATTCAGATTGTGATTCAGATTGTGATTCAGTGTGTGATTCAGTGGTGATTCAGTGTGTGATTCAGTGTGTGATTCAGTGTGTGATTCAGACTGTGATTCAGATTGTGATTCAGTTTGTGATTCATTGTGTGATTCAGATTGTGATTCAGTTTGTGATTCAGTGGTGATTCAGTGTGTGATTCAGATTGTGATTCAGTGTGTGATTCTGTGTGTGATTCTGTGTGTGATTCAGTGTGTGATTCAGGGTGCGATTCAGTGTGTGATTCAGATTGTGATTCAGTGTGTGATTCAGATTGTGATTCAGTTTGTGATTCAGTTTGTGATTCAGTTTGTGATTCAGTTTGTGATTCAGTGTTGATGCAGTGTGTGATTCAGTGTGTGATCCATGTGTGATTCAGTGTGTGATTCAGTGTGTGATTCAGTGTGTGATTCAGTTTGTGATTCAGTGGTGATTCAATGTGGGATTCAGTGTGTGATTCAATGTGTGATTCAGTTTGTGATTCAGTTTGTGATTTAGTGTGTGATTCAGTGTGTGATTCAGTTTGTGATTCAGTGTGTGATTCAGTGTGTGATTCAGTGGTGATTCAGTGTGTGATTCAGTGTGTGATTCATTGTGTGATTCAGTGTGTGATTCAGTGTGTGATTCAGATTGTGATTCAGTGTGTGATTCAGTGTGTGATTCAGTGTGTGATTCAGATTGTTATTCAGTGTGTGATTCAGTGTGTGATTCAGTGGTTTCAGTGTGTGATTCAGTGTGTGATTCAGTGTGTGATTCAGGGTGCGATTCAGTGGTGATTCAGTGTGTAATTCAGATTGTGATTCAGATTGTGATTCAGTTTGTGATTCAGTGTGTGATTCAGGGTGCGATTCAGTGGTGATTCAGTGTGTGATTCAGTGTGTGATTCAGTGTGTGATTCAGGGTGCGATTCAGTGGTGATTCAGTGTGTGATTCAGATTGTGATTCAGATTGTGATTCAGTTTGTGATTCAGTGTGTGATTCAGATTGTGATTCAGATTGTGATTCAGTTTGTGATTCAGTGTGTGATTCAGTTTGTGATTCAGTGAAGCTTCAGGAAATGACAGTCGTATTCATGGCTCCACCAGACTGACTCGCTGCTCGTGCGCACCTTGAAAGTGACAGGTCTATACGACTGACAAAGCTCTTTACTTTGTTCAAGATGAATAGGTTTTCTCACTCTGTCTCTGTTGACTGTTTACCTGTACAGCTGGACACCTGCCTCCTTCTCCAGCTGAGCCCACAGCTTGTAGCTTTCCTCCATCATATCAACGTAAAAGTCCTCACTGTAGGCTTTACGGATGATGCGGGTCTG